CCTGGCCCTGGTCGGTTGTGTGGGTGGCAGCCACTCGATGTGTTCCTTTCACATCGATGTTTCTCTCTCTCTCTCTCCCTCCCACTCTACCTGAACAAAAAATGGAAAAATGTCCTCGGGTGAGGATAAAAAAAATATATATATATATTCACAGCTAAAGTTCAAACTTCTACCCATCTGGCCCTAACCTAATGTCTAATCCAGTGGTTTTTAAACCAGGTTGCACATTAAAATAACTTTGGGCACTTAAAAAATACTGATGCTCAGATCTCCTCTAAAGTCTTATTTAATTTGGTCTGTGAGTGGTACATGGGCATCAGAATCATTTTTTAAAGTACTCCAAGTGATTCCTTCACACAGGTTGATTATTAATTAATTGTCCTTCCCTATATCATGCTGGAGAAGTACTGACCATCATAAATATATTTACATAGCTACTCACCCAATAGCACAATACAAAGGAGCCCAAGTAAGACGACTTCGGTGAAGTCTTTTCCTTCCACTCTTTGTTTTCCCTGTCTTAATTATCTCATATAGGCCTCTCCTTATTCATAGCTACACAGGCCTCTCCTTGTACTTCCCTTTCAAGTGCTCTGGAGGATTCATTCATCTACCAGATAATGACTGAGAGCCCACAACGTACCAGGCACTGTCTACAGGCTGAGAATACAGCATGAACAAGGTGGACAAGGAATGTGCACCGAGGGAGCTTACATTCCCTACGGAAAGACAGACAACAAATAAACAAGGTAGTCCACTTGGGATTCCACCACATAGCATGCTGGTAAATGTTTGACTATGGCAGAGCCCTGGTTTATAGCAGTTGTCAATTTCTGTGGTATATATGCATACTCCCACCATGGCAGATTTCAAGTTACCAGTACAACCTCACTGAACACAGAGTTGGGGAGAGATGCCAATGGCCACTCTTACACAGGCTTTCCACCTTACAGTATGATAACCAGACACATAGATCCTCAAAAGCATAACTAATAGTAAAATAATTAGGAAGTGCTGAGTCTTGGGTATATATTACTTTCATTTTTAAGAATATTTATTTAATTGTAAATTTATAAGTTAATCTTTAACTTTTTAAAATCCTCACCTGATGATATGTTTATTGATTTTTAGAGAGAGGAAGGGGGAGAAAGAGAGAGAAAAAGAGAGAGAGAGGGAGAAACATTGATCAGTTGCTTACTGTACATGTCCCTATAGGAAATAGAACCACAGTCTTTCTGGTGTACTACGGGACAATGCTCCAACCAACTGACCCACACAGCCAGGGCTTAATCCTTCATTTTTAATAATGGCTGTGTTTTAACAATGAGCTTGTAAACTTCATGAAAATTTAACGATCAGCTTTGACAGTAAGTTCAAGACTACTGTAGCCAACACTGGAAAGAGAATACTATAAGGACAATGAGAGAGTAACTAATGCGAAAAAGTGAGTGGAATGCTACTTTAGACTGAATGGCTGGGTAAGTCCTCTCTGGAGAGGTGATATTTATGTTGGGAGCTCAACAATAGAAAAAGCCAGCAATGCTGGAGGAAACACAGCATGCCACACAGAGGGGACCGCGAGTACTCTGAGGACAGAACATGCTTATTCTCCGAGAAACACAAAGCCAGTGTGGCTGAAGCCCAGTGAGCAAGATTCGTAAAATCGGAGATAGCAGATATCCTATTATGTAGCATCTTGTGGCACATTGTAATGAGTCGAGATTTTTCATTCAGATACTTTTTTTTTTTTTTTTTAGTCCTCACCGGAGGACATTTTTCCATTTTTTGTACAGATAGAGTGGGAGGGAGAGAGAGAGGAAGAGACAGAGAGAGAGAAACATCGACGTGAAGGGACACATCGAGTGGCTGCCACCGCACGACCAACCAGGACCGGGGACAAACTGCAACCGAGGCACATGCCTTTAGCGGAAACCGAACCCGGATCTCTCCAGACCGCAGGCCGATGCTCTGACCGCTGAGCCAAACCGGCCAGGGCTCATTCAGATACTTTTAAAAATTTTTATTAATTTATTTTTGTTACAGATGTTTCTCCTTTTCCCCACATCATTCAGACTCTTAACAGGAAGCCACGGTTTGGGTGATGGGTACGCCACCGATTACCCACCCCTAGTCTTCTTTTCATTCTGTGGTCTCACAGAAAGATTTCAAGCAGACCAGTGGCTTTGGATACAACCTACTTGCTGATGGCTGTCAAATCAAATATTTACACTAGACCTTCCTTGTTTGCTCTGCTACCATATTTCTAACTCTATTTGGATGTTTCCCAACCCCCCTGTGATGTATCTGTCCATAATACAATAATCCACAAATTAAAAATCATTAACTTTGCCTCTCACATCTCAAAGTGAACACAACCCCAAACATTACCCTGACTAAACCTGCTTCTCTCCTGCATTTCCTATCTGCGAAAGGCATCACCATCCACCCAGTTGCCAAATCACAGAAACCAGGAGTCAAGTTCAGACTGCCTCTGTTTCCTCATCCACCGCATTCAGCTGCCCTAAATATCCCACAAACTCCCCCATCTCCCTCTCCCCAGACTCCCTGCCTGTCCTTACTTTGGGCTGTCTTCTCTTCTCTGGATGACTGCAAAGGCATCCTGATCAAGCTCTATGATCATGGCATCAAATTCCTTCCTCAGCCAAACTCTCTTTCTACAGTCTCTACTTAAGTAAAGCAAGAGAGGTTATACATACAAACAATCGTGCCAGAAACCGAGCAGTTCTCTCAGACCTTCAACGTACAAATGTGATCATCCTTAAATGGTGCCCTATAAAGTTAAGACTTTATCCTTAAGGTTGGGAAAACATGATATATAAAATTCATTCAGGAAATATAATCTGCCTGCTTCCTTGATTTCATTTCTTAGGTCCCTTCTATTCTGCCCTTACCTAAATACTTGGTTCCCCCAAACATGCAAGGGAGTAGTTTTCTTACATCAATGCCTAGAACAGTTTTCCTCTCCCTCATCTCCCATTCACATCTCAAAAGCTCAGGTGCTCCTTCTCATTACTCCCACAACATACTGTGCATGCTGGATCTTTAATTTCTATATCCTGGACACTGAGAATAATGACCAAGGACACTGTAGCTACCCATTGCTGCCATGTTTGTTGCAATCAGCAGTATTTTAAATATCTCAAGTACCACTTTCAGATTAGATAGAGCATTGCACAATCACAAGTGTGGCTGAGCAAATAAGGACAGCCAAGATAGTAAGAAAAAGTTCAGGTTACTCTGAAAGTAAAATCGTGTAGTCACAAGTGTGCAGTGTCAGAGGTAAAAAAGCTCATATACAACTGCTTCGTCTTTCACATGAAAAGTTGACAAAAGTCTTATCAGTAAAGAACCATTGGTGAATGGGTAAGTAAAATATCAACTCTTTCCTTTAATACACATACAGAAAACTGTAGTCAATTCACAAACCAGTTCAGGACTGAGAAGCTACCTGAGGCATGTCAGAGCTACAAAGCAACCCTTTCCTACATTCCTTACATACTCCCTCCGGAGCAGCAGAGTTAGAGGTCAAATACATCCACCGCAGAACTGCTGGGTGAGCAGGCCCATGAAGAGAGAGGCTGAAGTGATCAACCTTAGAGAAGCTGATAGTTAACAGCAAGTAAGAGCTCCTGACTGCCACAAATGGAAATGTCCTCATGTTCCAAAAAATATTGATGTCCCAATTTGAAGGTAGCCACATATACATACATGTTCTCTTTGAAACTGTTTCTTTATCTTGCTTTTATTCTGTTTTCCCTGTTTTGACCTTCCTACACAAATTAACATTATGTTTAAGTCAGAAACTGAACTAACTGCTAGGACATGCCTGGTAACATACCTTTAAAATGCATTGTTTTATTTCCTCCTTAAGTAGATTAAAAACTAATCTGGTGTTTCAAAAAAAAGATCAGTTACACCAGGATTGTGCAATCCTGAGGGCTACAAAGCTCTCGTGAAGATGGCGAGTGACAAACGTTTTGTTGGCATAAAAAGGCAGATTAAAATCAGGAGAGAGAGGCGGTTGGTGGAGAAAAGGCAAGTTGGAGAGAGGCTGGGTAGCATTAATTGTCTTCCAAAATGACTTGTGGGAAAAGTACAATGACATACGGAAGCCAGAAACAGGCAATTTAAACTTCCAGAAGACCCACATTTTCCTAGATTAAAAAAAAAAAAAAAAAGACCTAGATTGTAAAAACTCTATGCCCACAGATGAGCTAAGTACTTTCCTGCCAGGAAGCCAGGAGGGCCGGAGGGCGGGTGGGGAGCCGCCGGCCGGCTGCCTCGGCCTGGGTGGGACCCGCGGGTTTCTCAGCTTTGCCCACAGGCGGCCCTCCATGCCCCGCTAGCGACCGAGAGCCTCCGAGTCCCACGCCTGCTGCCGCGTCAGGCAGGGGCTTTCGGAAGGCCCTGCGGCTAGTGGAGGGGCCGAGAAGGGACGAGTGGGAAGGAGCCGGAGGGGCCATCCCCGGTGGAAACTTGTAAAAGCACACGCACATTTTACACAGTGATGCATCGTTGCCTTGGAAACCAAGTCAACCACCCAACCCCTCCTCGGGGCAGCCGGGACCCACTCTTTGGGGCCAGGGTCGTGGCCCGGAGGAAAACGGGACAGGGAGGAGGGGGTCCTCTCTCGGGCCCGCGCTGGGCCTCTTGCCTGGGCGCCTACCGAGTACAGGAGCACGACAGCGCCGGGACTGGTGGAGCCGACGGAAAAACAGGAGTTACGTGAACTGGAAGAGTCCATGGTGCGGCTGCCGTCCCGGGCAGGGCCTGGGGTGCTTTGCTAGGCGGTGGTGGTGCGGCGGCGGGGGGCGGTTCCTCCGCGCGGGGCGGCCCGACCTCGCCTAGGGCGGTGGCACCCTCTGCGACCGCTCCTAGGGACCCCGGGCGCCGCCATCTTAACCAGGACGGAAGCCGCGCGGGGACCTGAGGCACGCGCGCAGCCCGTCGGACGCGGAAGCGAGGGCGCCGAGCGCGCATCCGCGGGCTCCGGGTGGCCCCGCGGCGCCCGGCCCCACGATGGAGCGGGAGCGGGGGCTGGGGTCCTCCTCGCCCCCCTCCTGTCAGCTGCTAGACGCTGTGCTCCAGAACCTCTACGACTTTGGTGAGTGGGGGCCTCGGAGCCCGCGCGGAGAGCGGCCTGGGGAGCCGAGGGCCTGCTGCGCGCCGCGAACTGGGCGGGCGTCCGCTTTCAGGCCCAAGGTTCCTGCAAGCCAGCACCCCGCAGCTCGCCCGCCCTGGCGCCCCAGCGCTGCGGCGCCCCCTCTCCGCCTGCCACCTTTCTCCTGCCCCAGGGTCGAGTTATTCTTCGTGAGTCAAACCTCCCAACCCTCCGCTTAGTGTGGGCACCAACCTAGTTGCGAGTGGGAGGCACCAAGGCTTGCAGATGCGCACAGACCTGGGCCCTCGACGGAGCCCCCTTTTCCCTTTTCCGGACCTCTGGGCCCGCCCTTCCCCAGACCCGGCCGACCCTCGTGCGCCCCTACCACCTTGCCCTGCTGGGGCCTCGTGCCTCTGCCCCCCGGCCACGGGCTTCAGAGAATGTTTCCACATGACGCTTTCACGGGCTTTTCCTCCACAGGTTGGTCGACTCACGCTCTTCTGCCTTTTTTTTTTTTTTTTTAATTCTCATCTGAGGACATTTGTCCATTTTTTGTTTAGATAGAGTGGGAGGGAGAGAGAGAAACATCGATGTGAAAGGGACACATCGAGTGGCTGCCACCCGCAGGCCCCAACCAGGGCCGGGGGCAAACTGCAACCGAGGTACGTGCCCTTAGCGGGAACCGAACCTGGGTCTCTCCGGACCGCAGGCCGATAACCGCTGAGCCAAACCCGGCAAGGCTCTTCTTTCATCTTGGTGAGGGGAAAGGAAAATAAAACTATCATTATAATTTGGCAACCGCCTGGCATGTCACTAGGCAGTTTCACACACTCTGGAGAACTTGCCCCAGGAGAGGAAGGTGGTGACACTGGTTCCTGCACCAAAGATAATCTTTAGTCATTAGTGTCTTTAAAAATGTGTTTATTGACTTTAGAGAGAGAAAGAAACATCGATTTGTTGTTCCGCTTATTTAATTATTCATTGGTGGACTTTTGTACGGGCCCTGACTGGGGATTGAACCCACAACCTTGGAATATGAGCTGCCCGGCCAGGGCCTAGTCACTAGTGTCTTTAAGGACCAAACATATTTCTTAAATTTGTAGTATGATGTTGCAAAAGCTGTTTTATTTTGGAGCCATTGCTCAAAATTCTAAGGTCAGTTAAACAGTAAAAACGATAGCTATAAAGTATTGAGACTTTACCATATGCTACTCTATGATTTTCATGTATTTACTTTTTAAATTTTCCAAACAACCCTATGAAGCAGACACTGCCATTAATCCCATTATTGCAAAGGTAGAAACAAGCCCTAGAGGTCAAAAAAACTTCCTGAAGCTTATATAGCTAGTAATCTGCAGAGCCTGAGTTCCAGTCTCTAGACAGTCTAGATCCAGTCCCTGCAGTTGTATAGGCTTTGTACCGTGGCCAGAACATCTCTATGCCCTTGGGAATATTGGAGGACAGAGGAGACTTAGTCTCTGACCTTGAGAAGTTTAAAATCTAGAGGAAAACACTAATCTGCAAAATCCTAGATACAGTATGTGTCAACACAGGCGGGAAATACTCTTTTTTTTTAAATCCTCACCTGAGGACATTTTTTCGTGCTTTGTTCAGATAGAGTGGTAGGGAGAGAGAGAGACATCGTGAAAGAGACACATTGAGTGGTTGCCACCCACACGACCCAACCAGGGCCGGGACAAACTGCAATCGAGGTACGTGCCCTTAGGGGAACCGAACCTGGATCTCTGGACCACAGGCCGGCATTCTAACTGCTGAGCCAAACCGGCCAGGGCTCTTTTTTTTTTTTTTTCAACCCTCACCCAAGGATATGTTTTCCACTTATCTTCAGATAGAGTGGGAGGGAGAGAGAGGGGGAGAAATGTTGATTCGAGAGAGACATTGACCGGCTGCCTCCCACACACCCCAACCAGGGAGGGGGACCGAACCCCAACCCAGGCATCTGACCTTGATCAGAATTGAACTTGCGACTCTTTGGTCTGCGGGCTGGTGCTCTAACTGCTGAGCCAGACCAGCCAGGGCTAAATACTCATTTTTATAGTTTAGTTGGCTCTTAATAAGTGTTTATTGAATAAAAGACTAAGCAAATAGAAGCAAACAAATGATCAGCTGATACGTATTTAGAGAGCTCTGTGGCATTTGTACTGTTAAATGAGTAATGAAGCCCCGAATTCTTGTCAGAACCTTCAGGTAAGTGATCAGAGTTGGAAAAGGTGAAACAAAGAGGAGCTATAGAGATCTAGTAGAAATTAAACGGACTCAAATTCAGCCAGCTATCTTGGGTTCATCTTAATTTATAACTGAAAGAAGTTCGGAAAACTACAATGCATATCTGTAATTCTAGAAAGCATTAAAAAGAAACACTGGCTGCCATTTTTAGTGCAAAGCAGACATTTTTAGTACAAAGTGTGAGCTCACTAGGATTTTCAGTCTGGGACTATTGCCATGATGACACTTTTAGTAAGGACCAAGGTGAGGACTAAAATAACTATGCTAACAAGAGTCAAAGGTGCCCTGGCCGGTTTGGCTCGGCAGTTAGAGTGTTGGCCTGCGGTCCAGAGAGACCCTGGTTCAGTTCCCTCTAAGGGCACATATCTCGGTTGCAGTTTGTCCCCGGCCCTGGTTGGGTTGTGCGGGTGGCAACCACTCGATGTGTCCCTTTCACATCGATGTTTCTCTCTCTTCCTCTCTCTCCCTCCCACTCTATTTGAACAAAAAATGGAAAAATGTCCTCCGGTGAGGATTAAAAAAAAAAGTGTCAAAGGCATAAATATACTTACCTGGGAAAAGATACTATGATTTTGGATTCTATAAATCATGCAAATACAACCCCCTTTGAAGAAAAACAAGTAGATTTTTCTTTGTGTGTAGATCTGGGTGTTTCTAGTGGTGGCACATGCGTACGTGTGTTCACATGATTTGATATGGGTGATAGCCAAAACCAAAAATATTTATTTTTCCTTCTTGTGTTTGAGCAAACAGGAGAGACAGAAGATGAAGCAGAAGAGAAAAGGATCAGAAAGAAAAGGGAAAACAAGAAGAGAGATGTGGGGACTCCAGTGGCACTGAGGGCAGAGCCCGCTCCCGCACCTGGTTGCCCTGGAAGAGGCCAGAGGAAGAGTGCTTCGAGCTTCTTCGCAGAGCTCAGAGAAGAGCTGCAGTGTGCCCCCGCTGTGACCCCCGCTGCAGCCCCTGCGGGACCACAAGGCCTTCATGCTGCAGCATCTCCCTCTTCCTTGACCAGGAAGGAGCCAGTAAAAGTGGTTGAATTCCACAGCAGAAATAAGAAAAGAAAACAGATGCCAGATCAAGATGAGAACACAAAGGTAATGAGTTGGTTGGTTTTTATGTAGAGGGTGAAGACCTGGATATTGTAGTATTAGGTGAGTATCTTTATAGACTATGGCGGGGTCCCCAAGACCACACCCTCAGGACTCAGCACTTACAGGACCTAGCATATAGTCACTCTCCCGGTTATGATTAATTATAGCAAAAGAATACGGAGTAGAATTGGCAAAGGGAAAAGGTACCTGGGTAAAGACTGGAGGAAACCAGGTGCAGTGTCCAGGGGTCCTCTCCCAGTGCAGCTGCATGGGGTGTGCTTAATTTCCCCAGTGGTGCTGTGTGATCCCAGGTGGGACGCACTGCTGAGTAGGGAGGCTCACCCAGCCTGGATGCCCAGGGTTTTTATTGCGGGTTAGATGTGTAGGCATACAGACTGACCCTAGTTATTTAAGTACTAGTGTCCCAGAGAAAAAACTAGTATTCACCATAAATCACATTGTTAGCACGATAGTCCCCCCTTATTTGCAGTTTGGTTTTGCTTTCTGTGGTTTGTTTCCATGGGCAACCACGGTTTGAAAATATTAAATGGGAAATTCCAGAAACAAATGATTCATAATTTTTAAATTGCCCACCATTCTGAGGAGCGTGATGAAATCTCGCCCTGTCCAGCATTGCTGCCTGGGACAAAATCACCCATTGTCCAGTGTATCCACCCTGTATCTTCTCCCTGCCTGTTAGTTGCTTAGTAGCTATCTTGGTTATCAGAGGGAGAGACTACATTCACATAACCTTTTATTACAGTGTATTGTTATGATCTTTTTTTTTTTAATGATTTTTTCTTTACTGCTTTTAGAGAGAGAGGAAGGGAGAGGAGAGAGAGTGAGACAGAAACATCTATTAGAGAGAACATTGATTGGCTGCTTCCTGCATGCCCCCACTGGGAATCAGGCCCACAAACTGGGCATGTGCCCTGACCGGGAATCGAACCGGTAAACTCTTGGTGCATGGGTCGATGTTCAACCATTGAGCCACACTTGCTGGGCATAATTGTTCTGTTTCATTGTTAGTCTCTTACTGTGCCTAGTCTATAAATTAAACTTCATCAAAGGTATGTTTGTATAGGAAAAAGCACAGTACGCATAGGGGTTAGTACTATCTGCAGTGTCAGGCATCCACTGGGGTCTTGGAATGTATTCCCGTGGACAAGGGGATGACTGCAACTCTCTAGGCAAATTTGGTACAGCTGGGTCAAGGCCTCAAGTGTGGAGAAACACTGAAATCATTAAGACTTAACCCATTTGTTCTTCAGAAGTACTGTTTATTGTATTAATTAGATTAAATGTACATGCCAATGGAAAAGATATCCTGACTTCAAAGTAAATGTAAAATGTTTTCTAGTCATGGGGGAGGAAATAAGACTTTCTGGGGTAGACAAATGGAAGTGCCCCATACAGCATCCTTTGTGCTCTGCCCATGGCCTTAAGGCATTTGATTCTATGAAATGTGTGATTGCCTGAAGAAAATCATAAACATAATAAAAGCATGGTAACATGGACGATGTGTATGGGATTGACAGCAGAGAGCTAGCCATGTACCAAGAGCATGACAGTCACCGTCTATGGTGGGATCCTGCTAGTCCAGCCCCCAGGCCCAACCAGAGCCAGTGTTCTGGTGACAGCAGATGAGCAGTGCTGTGAAGGTTACTGGGAGCCTGTTGGCTCCTTGTGGGTGGATTCGTTGATAATATGAGCATTGGTCAAGTCTTCCTGCTCCTGGACCTGTGCTGCACAGTTGCAGTACTTTACCCTGTGTCTTGTAATAACCCCAGGAGGTTAGTACAGGGTCTCCATGGAGACAGAAGCCATCATCATCTGTGGAAGCATTCTGTGACTGAGCCACACACTCATCACACACAGTGGTGGAGGACAAACAGGATAAGCTGAAGTACAACTCCCGTTTGGAGAAGGAGAAACTAGAATACACGTGGACTGCAGTGCGCAAGGCCCGTCAGCGTGGTAGAAGACAGGGCTGCACGCTCCATGCCTGCACAGCCCCCACCCTGCTGAGCAGGACCAGCAGGACTGCCGTTTCCAGACGCTGCCGAGTAGGGGCTGGGGTTGAGTCGAGACCTCTGTTGTTGGCCAGTACAGTTTGACAGTAGTTTCCTGGTCAGTTCTGTGGGTTGTTAACCACAGCCAGAGGATATATTGAGGGTTACATATTTTGAAGACATTTTTAGTATAATTTTCTTTTGGGAATTTTAAACCAAATCGCCACCATTTTTAGAAATCTGATGTTCATAAAAGAAATATTTAACTCAAGGTTGAGTTTTGTTAGCCATTAGAATGGGTGGGAAGGAGGAAACGAGAGAGTTATTTAAATATAACCTTTTTTACCCTCTAACATCTCTGGTCACACAGTTATCTTTTTCTTTCTTTTTATCACCCGAGGACATTTTTTTTTTTTGCGTTTATCTTCAGATAGAGTGGGATGGAGAGGGGGAAGAGAGAGAGAGAAACATCGATGTGAGAGAGACACATTGACTGGTTGCCACCCACACGACCCCAACTGGAGCCAGGGACAAACTGCAACCAAGATATGTGCCCTTAGCAGGAACCAAGCCCAAGACCCTCTGTTCTGCAGGCCGACGCTCTTACCGCTGAGCCAAACCGGCCAGGGCTCTCTTTCTTTTTTTAAGCAGACAAGCAGGTGAGGCTGCAGGGAGTAAGCCTGTTAAGAATGTTAAGGAATAACATTCCTTTTTTGTTTTTGTCTTGTTAATCCTCACCCAAGGATATTTTTCCATTGATGTTTTTAGATAGAGTGGAATGGAGGGGGGGGAGAGACAGACAGAGACATCACACCACAATTGCTTGCCTCCCGCATGTGCCCCAACCCATCTTGGGCTGGGGATTGAACCTGCAACCCATGTACGTGCCCTTGACCGGGAATCGAACCCGGGACCCTTTGGTGTGCAGGCCAACACTCCAACCACTGAGCCACACTGGCCAGGGCCAGTTATCCTCTTTGAACTCACCATCACACAGAATGTTGTATATGTGGTACATGAGATACAGACATTGGTCTCTCTCACCATTGGTCTTTCTCTTAGTTTCTCATCAATCCTTTCTTAAGCCTTGAGACCTTAACAATTTTTTCTCCACTTTGCTTCCATTCGGTGTTAATTAGGATTTTGTGCAACATGCTTGTATTATCATTTAGTACTTAGGCAATTGGGCCAGTTTCAGGGCTTTTTAAAATCTCCACTCAGTGGTAGATACTATAATGAGTAGTAATAGAATATCTTAATAAGATTTTTTTTTTCCTTTTCAGACCAAAACTAGTATCCTTGAGAAAGATGTGAATATACAAGAATTTAACTTAGAAAAGGTATGTGTTTTGAAATTGTTAATTTTTTTCATCTTTATATTACTAAGAAAGATGACTATGTTAACATGTGCAAGGGTTAGGGAAATGTTTAAGCACATCACGACAACTCACTTGCTTGAATGTCGCGCGTTCATTTGCAGCGTGGTAGTCTTATCACTGCAACACCGGCGCTGCAGTGCTGAGGAGGAATTGAGATTGTAACTAGGTTTCACAATTGCATGAGAAAAAAGGAGTAAATAATTCAACTGTTACATGAGTAGATATTGGTGACTTCTTGTCTTCTTTCTACATTATCTTTTAAAGAAAAATACCCCCACGAATCTGTGTTTAAATCTGGGATAAATGGTTTCCAAGTGTGAGTAGAGGTAACTTTAAGTTGAAATTACTGCCTTTGTGGTTGCAGCTTATTGTAGAGTTTCAGGAAGTGCTGCGGGCTCTGTTTACTCCTGCATGGTTTCAGCTGTCCAGATTAAACAGAGCGGTGCTGGGAGGAGGTGGTCACATTGCAGACCTCACGCAGCTCCTGAACCATCGCAGCAGTCTTGCTGGCTGCAGTCACAGGTTGTGGGAATACACACGAGTATTGGACACACAGCACGTCATACTTGAAACGCATACTGTTGGGCCTGTATTTCTTCTGTGGAATTTTTGTAACACACTTGGGTCTGGTTCTGCTTTGTGTCTCCAGGCTCGGCTGGAGGTGCACCGCTTTGGGATCACAGGTTATGGAAAAGGAAAGGAACGAGTCTTGGAAAGGGAACGTGCGGTTATGCTGGGTGCACAGGTGAGGGGCTGCTCAGCCTCCTGTTACCAGACAGGACACAGCAAGCCAGGGCAAGGGACACTGGGAGATCTGTGCAGAATAAAAATTGATTACATATTCCTTTTTCTTTCATTTCAGCCTCCCAAAAAGAGTTATGTGAATTATAAGGTTTTGCAGAAGCAGATCAAAGAAAAAAAGGCAGCAAAGGAAGAAGAAAAGAGAATGGTAGGTGTAATGGCCTTTTCTTTATTAAATCTAGAGCAGAAAGCCCAGCCGGTGTGGCTCAGTAGTTGAGCGTCGACTCATGAACCAAGAGGTCTCTGGTTCAGTTCCTGGGCAGAGCACATGCCCCAGTGGGGGGCATGCAGGAGGATGTTCTCTCTCATCAATGTTTCTATCTCTCTCTCCCTCTCCCTTCCTCTCTCTCTAAAATCAATAATAATAAGAAAAAACAACTAGAGCCCTGGCTGGTTTGGCTCAGCGATAGAGCATCAACCAATGAGTTGCAGGTTCGATTCCGGCCAAGGGCACATACCTCTGTTGTGGTTTATCCCCAACCCTGGTCAGGGTCATGCGGGAGGCAGCCACTCGATGTGTCCCTCTCACGTCGATGTTTCTCTCCCTCTCTTTCTTTCTCTTCCCCCTTCCCTCCTACTTGGAAAGAGCTAGAGATAAGTGATCAGAATCTGTTCACTTATTCAGGTCATCAGCATTTTATACCAGCCAAGTAATCTGGCGTATTTCTTGAACGGTTTGCTTGAAGTAGCAAACTCCTGTTTAGATAATGTCTGCTATGTCATTTGTCTCCCCATACGCAATCCCCATTTCTCTATTACATGTTGTATTGTGTACAAGGGTTTATGAAACATCACAGGGGGAAGGTCATTATACTCCCTTTCATCTGAAATGGAAGATGGGACATTTGTAGTTAGTCTTCTCTGGAATGGCCCTTCACATTCTTGAAAGTATTTTAGGATGAAACTTTGAGTCTTTTGTTTGTAAAGTTTGTCTTTATTATTGAAAGTATTACACATGTTTCCCCCCTTTTTCCACCATTGACCCCCTCCACCCTCCTCCTGCCCCCCTCCCAGCCTTCACTGCACTATTGCCTGTGTCCATGGGTTATGCATGTTTGCATAGAAGTTCTTCCGTAATCTCTTCCCACACCCATGCCCCCTTCCCTTTGTCTGTTATTCTACAGTGTCTACTTAAAATATATTGAAATAGTATCTAAGTGGCTTTTGATCACAGAACTCTTGCCTTTTTTTGAGTCTCCATATCCATTGCTGATACATATATTATCTTTAATTCTGAAATCAGGCCCAAGACACAGATATTTTTAAGAAAAAGAAGAGGAAAGGGCAGGAAGACAGGTGAGTGATATCATTAGATACTGTGGCGGAATGGTATGGATACACCTATTTATTAGTTCTGAAAGTAATCCCTGGAGTCCGCGTGGTGTACCTATATTGTTAGAGTGCTGTACTGTCTCTCCTCCTAATCAAACCCTGTAAGGGGAAGACAGGATTTAGTAAATTGACTGACATCAAACAGCAACCTCCTATTTTCAAAGACCAGAAACTGCAAGTGACCAGTGGAAAAGCTGAGACCGACATTTCCAACAAAAGACTTCTGCTCCCTGCTGATGTGACAGCACAGTCTGGGTCTGGAGTACCTGTCCTTTGACACAGTACATGGGACAGAGCACCGGAATTTGAGTGACAGAATACTGATTTGGGTGCTTATGTGTATTTCTACCACCTCGAGTTACTATTTCAGAATTAACTCCTTTTATCTTACTTATTTTCTCGGACTCCGGTGAGCTTGTACATGCCATCCACTGGTTGTGTTCTAGATGTATATGTCTGTTGAGGGCCCACGGGTGTCGGGCACGTAGGCGTCTTAGGTGTTGGGGGTGCAGCCATGAGCACACGGAGGGAGGTGGGTCCTTGCCCTCAAGGACCTTACATTGTAATGAGGGAAATACACAAGCATACAAACAGATAAGTGTGAGGTGTCAGGCTGGCATGTTCCGTGCAGAGCTTGAGATAAAGCATTGTGAAAGAAAACCACTGAGGGTGGACAGGTGTCATTCCAAGGGGTGACATCTGAGGTGAGACCTGAGTGAAGAGGAGGGGCAGCCTAAAAAAGTCATCAGTGCACAGGCTTTGGGGCAGGAAGGCAGGTGGTAGTTTTAGGGACCTGGGAAGACCATGGTGCGGCTGGCCCCAGGATGGGGGCTGTGCATGGGAGGGGAGGGGCACTGCAGGAGCAGACCATGGTGCTCTGGTTAGTGATGCTGCAACCCTCCTTTATGAGCTCAACTTCAGTACCTTTCTCTCACTTTAAATGTAGGAAATCCAAAAAGAAGAAATCAGCTCCCAGTATTTTGTCAAGTGGTCGGATTGGACAGGTTGGAAAATTCAAAAATGGGACATTGATTCTGAGCCAAGTTGATATCAAGAAAATAAATTCTTCCCGAGTGGCTAAATGAAGTGGTCTGCGAACTAGAGGAGGAATGGAAAGTGCATCACACTGACGCTGGTCCCGAGCAGGACTTCCAGACCGTTCTTACCTGTTTCATATTTCATATACTGCTTTTCTAGGGACAGTCAGATAGAAACGAAAACGCTTCTGGTTGCTGAAGTGTCTGATGGCCCATGTTGGGCCAACCACACGCCATGTGAATAAAAAGTAAACCTATTGGAAAGATGTTCGATTTTCTCAGCAAGATTCACTCACATTTCACTTTCACTGGTGTTTTGTGCATTTGTGCATAATAAGATTTTTCATATATTTACTGATTTAGAAGGGCTAAGGATTAGCTTTAAATTGCCATCTAATTTTATAAAAGTGACTTAATGTTACTGTATCATGAAAGAACCGAGAAATGTGGTGATTTGTCAATTATTTTGTGGGAAAAACAGCTTCGATTTTCAGTCTCAAGTATATAAAACCTACTTCATAAGAAGTTATATAAATAAAAACACAACTTTTGTGCATATATGATTGTGACTATTAAATAACAATGAGTTGACTCATATCCTAGTACCTACCTGTAAGCAGTCACCCTGGGCAGCTAACCCTACGTTTTTAATACAGTTGCCCTTGCTGACAGTGTCTGGAACTTCTCAAAGCGTATGGCACCTTGAAAGAAACACCTTCAGTGCTGGAAATCCATTTTGGCTCTTTTTTATTGCTAAAAAGTTGAGATCCAAACCTAGTAAGTAATGTAGTGTTGGTCAAGACAGAGGGGTACAGATGGCTGACTTTTCTGTGTGACTTATAAGTTGACTCAAGGCTTTGCACATGAGCTCAAAAAATGTTTGGATTGGGCCCTCGCCAGTTTGGCTCAGCGGTTGGAACATCGGCCTGCGGACCAGAGAGTCCTGGATTCGGTTCCCGGTAGGGGCACGTACCCCCCCCCCAAAAAAAAATGTTTGGATTGGAGTGTGTTTTACTTCCCAGGTTTATTTTGAAAGGCAATATTCATTAGGATATGCATTTTGGCAGTTTTTAAGAGCTTTGAAAAGGTGTGGAAGATCCCAAATGTGACAAAGCATTAGGAAAATTCTCAGGAGCTAGAAATGACCTTTGCCATTAGAGTGGGAAGCTGACCTTCCTTGTTTTTTGCCAGAGGACCAGAGACAAAGGTGCCTTGTCTTGCCCTGGCCTGCCGCAAGCCACATGGCTCACCACTGAGTCCTTGGCAGCCTGGACCAGAGCCCCAGGCTAGTCAGCTCTGGAAAAGTGCAAGTCCAAGTATAAATTAGTCACCTGGTAATGCTTTCACCTTTTAATTCACTGAATAAATGTTTTGTTGTTGTTCAGATAGAATGAGAGGGGGGGAGAGAGAGAGAAACATCCACGCGAAGGGACACGTCGAGTGGCTGCCACCCACACGACCCAACCAGGGCCAAGGTACATGCCCTTAGCGGAAACCGAACCCGGGTCTCTCGGGACCGCAGGCTGACGCTCTAACTGCTGAGCCAAACCGGCCAGGGCCTGAGTAGATGTTTAAAGACCAGTTTTGTGACCACGGGACGCTCTGGAAACACAGGTTTAGGAGCTAAGAGAAAGCAGCCTGTACCTTTGGACTGATGATAAAGCTTCAAACCGTACTTGATTTCTTGGGTGACAAGTTCCCTGCAAGGCTAGCAGCAGAGAACGGCAACGCGTCGCCGAAGGAAGGTGGTTGTGATTAAGGTGCTCACCACAGCCACGGGAGAAACGGGGGCCCCAGAGCGGTGGGGCGAATTCCTCAGTCTTCATCCTGCCGTTCTCCTTGGCAGGGGTTCTTCCCAGTCCTGGACCCACCTGCATGGGTAAGTCTTTGGCCCACATGACACGACCGCCTGCCATTATTCCCAATGACCCTCTCAGGGAGCTTATGGTGCCTTCCCCACAGCTTGGTCCTTGAACCTGGACAGCCAGCTTTCCAAAGGGAGAAATAACATAGCACATGTTCCACTGAACCAAGGGTGAGGCCTGGACACCAAGAGCCATCACCTTGCAGGGGTGATTGACCCTGACCATCAACACGAGGTAGGGCTGCTGTCACCCAGTGGGGCAGGGACGAATCCACCCAGGTGGCCCACTCAGGGACCTCTCACTACTCCCCTTGCTCTGTTTTGATGGTCAACAGACAATTGCCACAGCCCTGGACTGAGAAGGGCCTGGGGAGTGGAAGCTCAGAACCCCCAGGATGAGGGTCTGAATCACAATGAGCAGGGGCCCCAGGTGAGGGCCGGGGGTCTAGAATGGATAGGAGAGGTGACGGTCTGAACCCCGCGACAAGCAGAGGCCCCAGGTGAGGCCGGGGGTCTAGAATGGATAGGAGAGGTGACGGTCTGAACCCCGCGACAAGCAGAGGCCCCAGGTGAGGCCGGGGGTCTAGAATGGATAGGAGAGGTGACGGTCTGAACCCTGCGACGAGCAGAGGCCCCAGGTGAGGGCCGGGGGTCTAGAATGGATAGGAGAGGTGACGGTCTGAACCCCACGACGAGCAGAGGCCCCAGGTGAGGCCGGGGGTCTAGAATGGATAGGAGAGGTGACGGTCTGAACCCCGCGACGAGCAGAGGCCCCAGGTGAGGGTGGGGGTCTAGAATGGATAGGAGAGGTGACGGTCTGAACCCCGCGACGAGCAGAGGCCCCAGGTGAGGATGGGGGTCTAGAATGGATAGGAGAGGTGATGGTCTGAACCCCGCGACGAGCAGAGGCCCCAGGTGAGGCCGGGGGTCTAGAATGGATAGGAGAGGTGACGGTCTGAACCCCACGACGAGCAGAGGCCCCAGGTGAGGCCGGGGGTCTAGAATGGATAGGAGAGGGGCCAGTGAGTGTCCGTGTTGGCTCAACACCAGGCACAGTGGAAGGAATGCGGCTCGTCCCCCTGAGGTCCCTCATGTAAGCTCCCCCACTGGGATTCTGGAGGCGCTGCTCCCAGCCCGAGTGCAGCGCAGATCCGTGGCATGGGGAGCACTGTGGTGGGTGCTATGATGTCCCCTCCGGTTCCTTTTCAGAAATAAGAACTTACTCTCGGCTGCTAGAAGTGCCAAGGCCACAGTCTTCAGCCACGAGCCCTCTTTAGGGACGGCCTCAGCCCCTCCTGGGGTGGCCCCGTCAATGATGATGGACATGGGACTCACCTCCCAGCCTGGGACGACTCCAAAGCCTGGAGGTCCCTGCTGGGTCTGCATTGTGGCCGACATCTTCCTTGGCCCGGTTCTGCTCCCTTCTCTATGTCGACTCCAAGAGCACCTGCTAGCAGTCTTCCTGCTCTCTGACATCAGAGCCTGCAACTGTCCCCACACACTGGACAGTGATCTGCAGGGAGCTGAGGGTGAGGCCAGGTCCCAGCTGTTGGGGGCCTGCGAGACGGCTGCTCCTGGGGTTGCAATTTGAGGAAGACAACAGGGATAGTTTAGGGCCACATGCGCAGACTTTGTGCGATTGAAGGGGCTGGTTAGGCTCCTGATGCTCCTGGATTCGTTTGGATGTTAACCCCAAATTTCAGTTTCCACTGATAACCCATGTTCCATTTCTACTCATGAATTTATCTTTAAAAATTTTTTTTCTTTATTGATTTTAGAGAGAGAGAGAAAGGGACAGGGAGAGGGAGATAGAAACATCAATTGGCCGCCTCCTGCATGCCCCCCATTGGGGATCGGCCTACAACCTGGGCATGTGCCCTGACTGGGAATCAAACCGCCTACCGTTTGGTGCAGGGTCGACGTTCAACCACTGAGCCACACTGGCCAGGCGCATGAATTTATCTTAACTGTAAGTTAACTGTTATCAATTGCCAGCTTTATCACCTCCTGCAAAAATGAATTCCATGAACTCCCACTGTTGGAGAGTTTTCATAATTTTGGGTTGTG